TGTGACAGGTGGGTGTGGCAAGAGAAGTCTGATTTTCTAGTTTATGGATCTGTAACCAAATAAGATTGAAGGCTATAAAAATTATGCTTTGCCTGCATAATAACTATATTATAATGAATAATTTATGTTAAGTTCCATACTTCTCGGAGGGGTGGTAGATAAATTAGAGAAGGGATGCCTGGGGAGAAAATACCATAGTTCTCCTACTAGGAGAAATTCGGGATTTTTAAAAATATTGCCTTATAAAATTAAGAACTTATATCTTATATATGATTAAAATTCAGATTATTAGCTATATTTTTATGCCCAATTTATTCGTATACCACGATAAGAAAGTAGTTTAATTAAGTTTTGAATGCAACATACTAAAACCTTGTGACATCCACAGAAAAAGATGCCCGTGGTGAAAGTGTTAACTACTTGACTTTTCCTGTACAGTAAACAGGCACCATGTTGTTACTATGATGTGAATGAAATGTTGATGTTTAAATTTTATTTGCATCAAACATTGGTGGTGGTAGGTTTGCCAAACACTAAATTTTGTTGACAACAAAAGTAAAGAAGAGGGAATCGTCAACAGCTGTGGCACTTGAAATTATTTTAGGCAGGATTAGAGTAAATTAATCTATGATACCTTGGACATGGTCAAATACATCAATTGAAAGGGTTTGACCTCCTGAGTCCAAAACTGTAATTAGATCCCAAATTGGTCAAGAGATGATGGAGCTACGAGATAAAAAGTTTGTACTTGAAACAAAAAATAAACTCACAGCCGTTATACGAGCTGCTATGCCACAACTAAAAATAACGAAATGCACCTTATGGTTTATTTACAACCTTCCCTTATTTTGAGCTACAGACCAAATTGACCAGAGGGAGGTCAGCCAGCAGTACTTGCTACCACAAAGGTTTTGTTTGACTCTTTGAACTGAATAATAAGATTGACTGTTACTTTTGTAATGCAGTCAAAGTCTTGGATGTTTTGACCAATAGCTCAGCATACTAACCTCTAGGTTACATTTAATTTTGAGGGGTCAAATCGGCTTCCAAGTTCCTCATTGTCGAAACACGACATACTATTCATCTAAAACGAGCTGTTATACTAACTTAAATCACCTATTTCACATTCATAACAGCAATGAATTATCTTTTTATACATATTTTCATAAGTGATAATATGATTACACCGTCATGGCATATTACCAAATGAAAGGACAGTTTTAAAAACCATTGCTACAAAGAGTGTTAACAAAGACAAGATACTGTACCTTGACTAGCTGTCAAAAGGAACTCAATCATAGGGTTCATATTGTCTATCCACAACCCAGCTAACTCTTCTGATGAAGGATAACTACAACAGTGGACCTGTGCTGCTATCTGGGAAATAAATACACAAAACACATTAACATGTTTTAAATGGCTTTCAACTGATCACCAGCTCTGAGAAACTAAAACATCCATTATAAAATACATTTCATTTAAAAGGTTAACACCAAAAAGAAAAAGAATTGAATCACCTACTTCCACGAACTAAGCAAATCATATTCCAAGTAAAGGTTTATCTGAAATCTATAGGCCAACAAATAAATAATTAGTTTTACGTTTAAGAGATCTACCATGTATACTTAAGGCCTAATAAAAGTATAAATAGCTAAAAACAGAATTAAAGCACAATATTTTACGACTGTTTGCATGACATCATCTCTTACATGTTCTGTTCACTTCTTTTTTTTTAGCTGTTTATACTCTTTTTTTTTTGAAATACTTAACTAAAAAACTAAAAATTATCTTTCTTTGTTTTTAAATTTTTATCTAACAAACAAACTTTTATAACGGATACTTGAAACCGTCGGTAACTTGGTGAAACTCGATAATTACAGAATTGAGGAAAAACAAGACAATTGTACGTTTCACCGATACATGATTTATTATGACCATGGTTTCGCCAGTCTGTACCCAATGATGCCTTCACCGGCAAAACTATGGTCGTAATAAATGATGTATTCGTTTTTCCTCAATTGGGGGAATTTTTTATCATTGAAAAGAGCTACTATTATTTATAGTGTTCCAAACTGAACTGTTATTAAAAAATGATGATGACACAAAAAAAGAAAACTTACAATTGAAGATCTATAGTTTTTGTAAACGTATTCAAGAAGAGAACCTTTCTGTGGCTTAGGCCGATGCTGTTCTCTAGGGCAAGACTGACCAGAAGATAACTGAGGATGGTTCTTCCAATAAGTAGTGCCGAGGGCTTTTAAATTCCGAGCCCAAAGGCTGTCCTGTGATTCCTTGTCAGCAGATTTAGGATATCTAAGATAGGAATAATAAGTTTTTGGTCCAAATAAAGTACCTGATGCTGGTCTGTGGACATGTACAAGATAAATTACTGATGTATTCACTCACATAGTATATAATATGAATATATATATATATATATATCTTTAACACAGTTTGAAAGCCTCTTGTTTTTCTACAAAAATAACAAATCATGCTACGGAAGGTTGAAGCTGGCAAGTTTTCAAATTAGGAAAGTCTGGGTCTGATTTCATTCTCTCCTGAGGAAAGCCAGCAAGATCCAATCGTATTAGGAATTGTTATTTCTGTTTACCCTGACATTTGATGAATAAAATAGATAAAAAAAACAAGAGAAACTATGGACGATATCCTCAGTTGAAGTACAGTCACATATAAAAAAACTCAAACCATATTATTATCATTCCTTATGCCTTATTCTTTAGTTTAAAATCAGTTTTCTCATGGAAAAACTAGACCAGACTTTTAGTATCGTAGTGACAGAAACAGTAGTAAGGATTCTTGAAGACTCTTGAGTTGCAAATAGATAAGATTATGAATTCCTGGGAAAGTAACCTTAGGGGTAACTCAAACTTGTTTCAACTTTATATTTACTAAATGTTTTACTATCAGTAAAAATTAAACATTCAACAATAATACTTTGATTGATAGTCTGAATATTAAACTAACTCTAAGAATGGTATCTGCATGAGGACCCATTAAACCAAGTTTAATTGGTAAGGTAAACAAAACAAATTGAACTTACAAAATCCCAAGGCCTCCGCTTTCAATGCTCAAAGCAGCCAAGTACTTGTAGGTTTCCCAGTTTCTCTTCAAAGCCTCTACCGGACCAAACTTATCATCATATTCAGGACTGAATTTGTCTGCCACATCTAACATAGGGTCCAGAGATGGATGACAACTGTTTGAAGAAGCTCTGTCGAACCCAATTTCATCCACTGAAGGTATTATATGCACCGACAAAGTTTTCAAAATCTGGACTATTTGAGGATCTTGTTGCCTGTAACCTGTAAACATTAGGTTTTTATTTAGCAAATGGTAAACACATAGACTGAAATATATCAGATAGTTTTTTGTTAGTGTTACAACCTTAATCCCATCTAGTTAGGATCAGCTGGTATTTTTACAAGCCAAGAATTTTTACTTGGGCCCTGTAAACAACCATATAGAATGAGCACGTTCACTGACAGGGATTCAAACTCGCAACCCTCAGATTAAAAGCCAGATACTGTATATGCATTAAAAAAAAATGCTTTCACGCTGACTGGGGAAAAAATATCTATGATGCATTTAAAATCTTTAAAATTTCTCAAGAATTAAGTAAATCGAAATAGTTCATCTGCATATTTACTGAAAATTCTTATATTAAGGACCACAGCAACATAAAAACTAAAAACCAAAACAGCTGATCCTTTATGATATTTGGCTAAAGTCTCACCTAGAATAAATAAAACACTTTGTTGTACTATTAAATATCAAACAAAGAATAATTTACCAAAAAGAACAATATAATAAATAAATGGAAATTTAAAACTTCAGTTACTTTTACAGTTAGACTCACTGTGTCTCTTTTAATGTGATTAATTAGCTTGAAATTAATTTATAACTAAACTTGTGCTTATCACGTATGAACGAAAAGAACATTCTGGAAGAAAAAATACAAAAAGAACATGGAGTTTAACCAGAATAACAACAAAACTTGTACAACAAATTCTTGTTATTCTTAAGAAGCAAAATCCAAATGTATCACTTCAAAGAAATTTAAAATTAACAAATTTAGCATTTTCTTATATAATAAAAAAGCAGATGTCTGAACACTTCTATAATTTGTCTTCACAAATTACATAAATGTTACAAAATGATAAAATCTCAATTTTGAAATATTTTTTATAGTAAAAAAAAAAAAACAACTGTTGAAATAGTTAGAAGTATGATCTGTATTTAAAATTTGAAATCTGATATGCAAGGGTGCACTCGACATCTGAACGATGCTCACTGGTCTCGACAGGTTTAGTACTTCGACAACTTGCTACCGACAAAAAATACCGTGATGGTCAGATTACAAATACACAAACTTTTCAGTGATTTTATTTTTCTAGTAGGATATATTAAAGAATGGTGCTAATAAATCTTTTAACCTAGCTACCGAGAGCCAAAGGAAACGTGTAACACGAGCTGAACTTTTAACATAATAGTAGCTTATTTTCACCTAGGCAAATTTTAAGCTGTGGAGTATCCTGGTAGTTGAAACACAGCTACCTGTATAGAACATGAAATATTTTTATCTTTCCAGAACATAAAATTGCCTAAAGTTCAGTTTTATATTATACAGCACTTAACCATGTTGAACAAGCTTTCAAAATAGACGGTACACACTGTCTAAACAGCATGTGACTCATATAATTGGTTTGTTTGGAATTTCTCGCAAAGCTACACGAGGGCTATCTGCGCTAGCCGT